AGAGATAACCTCACAGGACAAACGGGCACTTCAGAGATAACCTCACAAGACAAACGGACACTTCAAAGATAACCTCACAGGACAAACGGACACTTCAGAGCACAGACGTATCAGAAGGACATTCACTGCTTTCCTACTAAATGAACTTCCATCACCTCAAAGCTTTTAAATATCTGAAAAACATCTTACATTTACATTTTGAACACCATGAAAGACAAGAATGCTCCTCCTTTGATAATAAATGGTCATCATTACAAAATATAATAAGTATTTGGACTAAATAAAAAACTTCTACAAGCACAGAACTGTCTCTCATTTCATGCCTCCTTGATTCCTTTCCTCGCCCGTGGGAGGTACGAGCGGAGGAGACGAGAAACATTTGTTTTAAAATAATCTTCTTGATTAGAACTCATCTCGTGTTGATCTTGCTGCATTGAAACAGCTTCATGCCTCCGCACAGTTTGTGCAAAGGTTTGGCAAGTTTTTCTTCTATTAGTTTGATTCCACCGGTGTCACACTCGTCCACATTAACCAGCTCTGCTGTATTATATTAAGGCGTGTATTATAGATTAACTATCATCTGGAGTCTCAAGGTTTCAACTTAAACTGGTACATTTTAGATGAACAACAGTTCAGTGAATTGTTAAACTTTAATATGATTGTGATATGATGATAGTTCTATGTTGGCAGGCCATATGACATCACGTGCTCCTCATAACACATTTGAATAGTTATGGACTCATAACGGATTCATTCTGGCCTGAGGACAAAGACGAGGAAATGACAAGAAGCTTCTCCAGCGTCACGGAATCAAAGTTGAACGGACATAAAGGAGAGATTGTAAATTATCTGTTTATCTGTTTTCAGGGAAAATGTGACAAACAAGGCTTCAGAGTAAAAAGCCTTTAATGTCGAATGAGATGGAAGATCTAATCATTGAGTGATGCTGATGACTACCTCCATCAGTCATCACGAGGGGAACGGCTCTAAAGTTAAAGCACTCATTTACTGTCCAGTGAGAACATTAGAGGAAGAGATGAGACGGGATTCATTTGGTTTATTTGTCCGTTAAATAGCCGACTCTTAACTTTAAGGGAAGACAACCGTAAAGAGTTATTTTCATAGCACTGATGTTCGCTGTTAGTTTGTCTACCGTGTCCAAATGCAGGAGTTATGTATTCATCAGAGGCATGACCTCACTTTGATCTCAGGTAACTGTATGATCTAAGAGTTTACTACATTATATAACGTAGTCCAGGAGGGATGGGAACTGAAAGAATCACAGAAATAAATGGATTCATCGTCAGCGTATAGATTCACATCTCATACCTGGGTGACTCCTGATGGAAAGAGGTTTGTTATGAATATGAGAAAGAGGAGCGGGCTGATCGACACCATGCTGCAGATCAGAAGAAGTTAAGATTTCTCTTCATCACAGAGAATAGAAACATTGTTTCCACTCTGTAATAAAGCAACAGCTCCCGACGGGCCGTGACCACGAAGAGTCAAACTGTGAAAAACACTTGGACAGCTTTGTGGTTTATCCACATTCCACTGATAATAGAACTATATTTAAATATAGTCGGACTAATAACGCCTAATAAATGCTTCCTGCAGACTCAACGTTAGACACATTGAGTGTTTTCTGCTTTTAGACTTTTAAATACTGAGTTCTTGACCCTGTTAGGTAGTGCAGCATTTAGGCATTTTAATATTTATCTTTTGCTCTTAATTTAAATATTTGTATGTTGACATTTGTTGTGCAACCTCTGAGAAAGTGTCCGTAGGATGACTTTGATAACTGTTCTTTATTTACTTTATTTAAATCCACTGTTGTTTATATTAATTCTGCTATTATTAGTGATACTACTGCTCTCATTATATATTTGTCATTGATGTTATTTGGATGGAATATTATTTATGTTGCTCTTTAAGGCCCCCCCCCCATTAAAGTTTAACAGATTGTAAAGACGTCTGAGATAAATGTGTGACGTTGGGTTACACAGATACACAGAAATCATTTAACTGTGTGAAGAGATCCCGACGCTACGTAACCAGTGATGTGTGTTTTATATCACAGGACAACAGAAACATTACGTCACTAAACTCCGTTCAATTCAAGACTTTTTCCCACAAACACAACAACTGACGTCAACGAAACAAATCAATAAATTTTATTAACGTCAGACATCTTAATAACACGAATAGACTTCAGAAGGTCTGGAAATCAAACTCTGCTCACGGTTGAGAGTCAACTAGTTTCAAACAAACAACAATCTGCTGACGAGAGAAACCGCCTGAAGACAACGGATGATTTGAAGTTAATATATTTGTCATGAGTACTTAATCTTCCATTTTTTGTTTTCTTTTTATGTACTAAATTGTTTTATATTTATTGAATTATTTTTCTTCGTTGTTTTGCTTCTTTATTATTCTCTCTAAACACAAATCCCCTTTAAAAAAACATATTTGAACATATTCCTTAATAATCTGCACAGTACGTACAGTACATTGCACAGTACATACAGTACGTACAGGACATTGCACAGTACGCACAGTACATTGCACAGTACATTGCACAGTACATACAGTACGTACAGTACATTGCACAGTGCGTACAGTACATTGCACAGTACATTGCACAGTACATACAGTACATTGCACAGTGCGTACAGTACATTGCACAGTGCGTACAGTACATTGCACGGTACATACAGTACATTGCACGTACAGTACATTGCACAGTACATACAGTACGTACAGTACATTGCACGTACAGTACATTGCACAGTACATTGCACGGTACAGTACATTGCACGGTACAGTACATTGCACGGTACAGTACATTGCACGTACAGTACATTGCACGTACAGTACATTGCACGTACAGTACATTGCACAGTACATACAGTACGTACAGTACATTGCATGTACAGTACATTGCACAGTACATACAGTACATTGCATGTACAGTACATTGCACAGTGCGTACAGTACATTGCACAGTACATACAGTACATTGCACAGTACATACAGTACATTGTACATTGCACAGTGTACATTGCACAGTGCGTACAGTACATTGCACAGTGCGTACAGTACATTGCAGTGCGTACAGTACATTGTACAGTATGCACAGTACATTACACAGTATGCACAGTACATTACACAGTGTACAGTACATTGTACAGTATGCACAGTACATTGCAGTGTACAGTTCATTGCACAGTACGTACAGTACATTGCACATCCTAGTTTAAATACTTAAAGTGAGTCTTTTCTTGGCACAGAAACCAATATTTCACTATTTCTGCCTGTTCTGTTTGTTAAATCCTTATATTAATATATATATTAATATATTTTAAAACGGCCCTAAGTCGTGAACAGAAACCGGATTTAACTTTAATAATTACAAATTTACACATGTAGTGCTAGTAACAATAAACGTCTCGTAGTGTTTCAGATTATGTTGATAGAAAACTTATTTTTATTTAGTTTTCTGGTCCAGAAACAGATTTTCTTTCTTGGCGAGCCGTGTTTTAAGGCGTCACAAACAGATTTTCATGTCGTTCTTACTACAAACACTGAACATCTTTTGTGCAAAGACCTTCTTTCAGATGAATGAAGAACTAGATTCTAGTTTTCTCCAGAGAAACCCAACGAGTGAAGCTGAAAGACGCTGAAGCGCTTCCCTCCGCTCACACTGAACGTTATTAATGAAGCGTATCTCACCTCCCATCACTCCGGAGCAGCTCAGACTTCCTCTCTTCGACGCTCGGATCGTCAGCATGAGGGGAACCAAGATGGAGAACAACCATCGCCATGGCGACACAGGCTGCAGTGTCCCTGAGAACACAAACAAACAAGCAAACAAGCTCAGAACCACATGTTTATACCGAGTTCAGACATTTTGTGACGTTCAATAAGCTTCTCAAACTGTTTCCTTACAAACAGACAAAGTCCAGCTTTATTATTTACATTTTGTGATTTTAATTAAAGAGTTTATGAACAAGTTGTGATGCGTTTAACTCTTAAAATCACAACAAATGGATTGATGATTCGGGATGGGACGACACAGGATACTCTACTCAGTAAAAGTAGTATTGGGCGATGGTGCTATTAATATTTATCAGTGTTTTCAAGGGAAAATGTAGTTTTTGATGATAAACGTGGATAAATAAAGTGGTTTTAAGGAAATAAAATATAGATATCAGAGATGAATTATGTTTAACTTCCTCTAAACAGATTATAATTCATCAATAAATCAGTTTTTTGTATTTCTTAATCATTTGAATTGTGAGTTTTTATGCAATTAACCACTAAAGATGATTAGAACATATTAAAGGATAACATATAAACTTCTCCAGAGCGCTTTAAATGACGTGAGGAACAAAATAAATAGTTTGGATCCTTAAATAACAGCTGCTGTAACAAAACAAAACAACAATATGGATCATCGACACCATGCTGCTGAAGACCAGGACGTAATGCTGGACCCGCTGGAGGGAGGGGGGGCACGGGAGAACCAGGACCAGGACTGAGAGGGGCAGACTGTCAGACCCTGCTGCAGTAGAATGAGAGGTTTTCTAAAGAGTCTGGTGCTCAGAGACACTACCACTTTAGTCCACAGGGGGCGACAGAACCAACACTAAACAAAGTGAAGTGTTAATGGAGTGGACTCACCGAAGTAGCTGCTGATGGTGATGGAGATCACCCAGAAGGAGAGCGAGAGAGCCAGAGTGGCGCACAGCAAGATCATATCTATCATCATCTTGATGTACTCTTTCATCAGCACGTCGCTCTCAGAGTTCATGGTGACGGTCAGAGCGGAGCTGCAGGAGTCAGATACACAGATACATCAGATACACCAGATACATCAGATACACCAGATACACCAGATACACCAGATACACCAGCGGGCGTGCTCCAGACAATGAAGGGAATCTCTTCATCTTTCCTCCTTGTTTTATTAAACCAGACGCCTTTTAAAAGCTGCTGTAATTTATATTTGTGACGACGTGAAGGAGTTGCTCTGCAGAGGTTTCCTTGTAATTGCATCTTTGTTTAATGTGAACAACACCTGCACATAGTCGGTGTGTGAGGGAGACGTGAGTCTGCTTTAACTACCGGTTACAAACAGACTCGTTATTACGTGCAAGAGGATTTGTTGTTGTTGTGTTTTTTAATATCTGAGTGTTTGGTTGAAACAGATGCTCGTTGTTCTCTGGAGGTGATGTAATGTTTCAGGTGGAGTGAGCGCTGCACCAGACTCTGGTTAAATACTACATTGTTGGTAAGTAACCGGTCGTGCGGTGACTTCGGTGGGAGTTCTGCCTCGAGTGCTGTGATTGATTTGACACTGCAGTCACGGTTTTGTCTCGTGGTATTTGATCCTCTTCACAGAAACAGGCGGAGCAGCTCCAATAAACACCACATCTTCTGCTTCAGTGCGGTGAATCTGATCTTCTGCCGGTGTGACGAGTGGTTCTTGTGGATTTCCTCGGGGGAAACACGGCTCCATCTCAGATTGGTTACAGATAAAACGGGTGAAGATGTGGATGAAACAGAAGCTGTTCGTGGGTGAATATTCCCTCAATGCAACTGGTTGTTTTGAATCGGCTTCAACTGTGTCTCATTCATACGGACCAGTAAAAGAGTCATGGGGCCAAATATCCACAGTTCTTTCTGTACAAAAAAATCATTATCTGAGACACAAAACTCTCCTTTTTACCCTGATGCACGAGGAACCAGTGTGTGAGGAGACGTGTTTATGAAAGAGACCAAGAGACAGACTGGATGCGTCTGTACAAGTCCTGCATTCAAACCTTTACTTTAGACGTATGTAAAGTATGTTATGTGTATGTATACACAAAGTATACATATCTATATATATTATATATCTACACACATTTACTTTAGTCAAAGTGTGTAAGTATCAGAATCACATTTATTGCCAAAAAGGTTTTTCCTTGTTGTTTTCTGCAGAATATAAAGATATTAATAATAAAAAATGCATGCAAAGTATTGCAATACAAGTCAGGAACATACAGAATAAACTAAAATATCAACTAGACACAGTAAATAGTAGTTATAGTATTAATAGTGCAGTTTATGCTGCATTAATGTGCAAGTAGCATTTAACCTGCTTTAATCTACAGCACATTAACTAACTCCTTCTTTACATTAATAGGTACAACTTTAAATAAAACATTTAAATAATGTGTTAAACTCACCGGAGCCATCGTTGCTTAGCTTTAGCTAACGTCCGTTAACGTTACGTTGGAAGCTAACTTAGCTAACACTTTGTTTATTTTGTATTTTACAGTTCGGCCGATTGAATCTTCTCCGGGAGTTCGTGTTTCGTTATTAATTATATTCACTAAAACAACCAAATCGTTAGTACGAAGTAGAACGAGACGACTGAAGCTCCGTGTCACATGACAGAGCAGCGCCCCCAAGAAGAGTTTGCTAAATACAACTTCCGGCTACATCACGTGATACGGGGTGCCCCTCTTCTTCTTTGGTGTTTATTGGCGGTTGGCAAAGAAGCTTAGATGCGCATTACCGCCACCTGCTGGACTGGAGTGTGGAATAGTAGATGACAGGAGGAAAAAATAAAATAATTAAATTCTCCATTACTCCTGTTGCTTTATAAAAAAATAAATATATAAATAAATACATTATGAGTACGTTAAACTTAGTTTTGTGTAGATCCAAACTGTACTGCTTTAAAGTGAAGGAAACACATTTGTGTATATGTTATATGACCTTTTTATGGCTTATTTAACTAAATACTTAAATGTACATCGTTTGTGTGGCACTGAACATTGTTCAGATAAAGATAATCTATGTAGGCATCACTCTGTATGGAGGACCAAAGCTGGCATTACAATAATACAGAAAATACATAAAAATATTTAAAAAATAAAGAAACAAATGTAGAAAAAAAGCCTTAATTATCACATAAATGTAGAGGTTAATTTTAAATTAAATAAAAATGTACAGAAATAAAAAGAATTAAATATCATCCATTTATTTATTTGTCAAATTACTTATTCTCTTTATATAAAAGCAGTAGTTATTTTATCCATTTATATAGAATCGTAGGGCTCAGTTGTGTCAAGAAAGTGCTTTTAACGACAGACTTAGTGAGTATGAACACTACGTCATGGCTCCACCATTGTGTGAGGGCAGAAAGGAGAAGCTCTGCTCCTGGAGGAGGAGGAGGAGACGCTGCTGCTGCTGCCGGGAGCTGAGCTCTCCTCCTCCCTCCGGAGTTCTGGATCTGGGTCTGTCCACGGTGGATCGGTCTCTGCTGGAGGATCTGGGTCTGTCCACGGTGGATCGGTCTCTGCTGGAGGATCTGGGTCTGTCGGCGGTGGACCGGTCTCTGCTGGAGGAACTGGGTCTGTTCACGGTGGACCGGTCTCTGCTGGAGGACCTGGGTCTGTCGGCGGTGGACCGGTCTCTGCTGGAGTCTGAGCTGAAGGAGTTTCTGGTGAACCTGCATGATTTCATCTGGTTTCACCAGAATCCGACTAGGTGGCTCCGATGATGAGCATCAAGAATAACTCTATAGAAACAGACCATCTTCTCTCTGACGGTCTCTTTACTGATGGAGGTCTGATAGAGGATCAGGACTACACTGAGACTGGTTCATATAGAGGATCAGGACTACACTGAGACTGGTTCATATAGAGGACCAGGACTACACTGAGACTGGTTCAGGACCAGGTAAAAGCTCCTCACATTCACATTAAATATGTAATACTGTGTGTACCGCTCGGCCTGCAAGTGTGAGAATCTTCTGGAAGATATACGAGCTGCAGCTGAGATCATGAGGGTTTTAATGTTGACTTGACTTTCATGAGCAAAGCAACAAGCAGATCTTTGTCAACACAAATGTCCCTCAGTCACACAGAGTGAAGTGGGACCATACAAGTTAATGGAATCCCCTCTCAGGATCACTGAGGAACATTCTTCTTCTTCTCCTTCAGTAAATAAACTCTTTAAAAAGCCTCTTGCTGGAAAACACATCGTCACAAAGCTGAAAACGGGTTGTTTTTTTTAGAGGAACATGTGATGATCTTATAGAATATGCAACCGTGTCTCCTATAAACTGACCTTTACCAGACAACAAAACTACATTACTGTCGCAGTAATAACGTAGTTAACGGTGTAAATTAAAATAAAAACCGTAACTACTTGGTTATGTTTAACAAAACATCATAGTTTGGCTTAAAATAAGTATATTATGTTTGCAACCAGTGAACAGGAAGTGAGCATATCTGGACTGAGGAGGAGTGACGTAGAGACGGCGTATACGTCTCTGGTAGAGACCTGTCAATCACCGTGTAGCCCCGCCCTAAAGCATCCCCTGCTTTATGGTCTGTGTGACTCTAAATGGACCATAATGTACTAAATGAACATCATGCTGTATTGAAGAAGACTTGAAACTAGAGATTGAGACCATAAACTCATGTTTACAATGTTTACTGAGGTAATAAATCAAGAGAGAAGTAGAGTCATTTTCTCATAGACTTCTATACAACCAGAGGAGTCGCCCCCTGGTGGACACAAGAGAGAATGCAGCTTGAAGACATTTAAAGCCTGAACACATGATGTCTGTGAGTGTAGATGATATGTCACCTGGAGCCTCAACGTTGTGTTTTCGAAAAATAATTCCAACATAAATTTCTGCATGAAAATGAACCAGAATGCAGGTAATGAAGCACAACATCTCCTGGGGGACGAACTCCAAAACACCGAAAGTTCAACCGAATTTAAATTGTGACGCACACTCGTTGCTCCAAAGCCATTTGAAGTATTATGTGTTTCAGAGCGCAGTGATGATGTCACATTGTCTCTAAAAATGGCCTCAAGAATCCTGATAATCGTAAAAATGCAGAATATCACGGCTGTAAAATTGTCCAGACCAAAATATTAAAAAATAACCAGATTGAAGATTTATTTGAATTGAAAAAAATGTATTTTCTTAAAAGGTATTTTACTCAATGATGTTGGTCTTTAATGGTTTTCTCTCCCAGACAACAACGTTCAACATGATATCATTAAGTCACTTCAGAGTTTACATCTTGTGTTCTCACAGGTTTTTATAACTTCTTACACTTTTTTTCTGTACACTAATTTTTTTCTGTCTGTACACAAACTCCACACATAATGGGACATTCATTACCTGAAATGTGTTACTAGTACCAGGGACAGAAATGATTAAAAATGACCACTAATCGTCTGGTTTCTGGTCAAATTAAATTACTGCAAAAACACATTAAGACACACATGAGAGGTGAGGAAAGAGATGATTCCACCTACCGAGCAGAGACGAGAGGAGGAGGAGAGGAAATATAATGTGTGCTCATTTTGAAGAGACTTATAAGGGGATGAGAGATCCACCCCTACAGAGAGGGGGGGAGGGAGACAGAGGGAGAGAGAGAGAGAGAGAGAGAGAGAGAGAGAGAGAGAGAATAGCATGCATCTCTCAAAGACTCATGGGAAATGTAGTTACTGAATGCAACCTAAATGATTCCCATTAGATTTGCAAACCTCCACCAAACTTCTGTGTATTTACACATTTTAACACGTTTCACATCTTATTCTCAAAACTGTTCAAATGTACGCTTAAAGCATCAAACGTAACACAAGATCACTGCAGTTTAAGCTCTGACCTCATGTGTTCTTGCAGCAGGAACAAATTCGGAGTGACGCTTGAGTGAAATATGCTTGAAAATCAGTTTAAAGATGATCAAAATGATAACGGTTCATCCTGAGGGGAGCATGAACTTCTGAACCAAATATTATGAAGGAATAAAAAACATAAAGTCAGTCCCGTGGTGGCACTAGAGGGAAAGTCAAGGGATCATCAAAGACAGTGGGATTCATCTTCTGGGGACCATGAATGTTTGCACCAAAAATTTAAAGAATCCGCAGTTGAGATATTTCAGTCTGTACCAAAGTGGTGGAAGAACACAAATGCCCTCATCTTCTGTTTCCAGCCTCTTCAAATGTAAAAGATTGCTGATTTTATTTATTCATACCATTTAGTGTGACATTGTTACCATTAAATGTTACATTGATACCATTTAGTGTGACATTGTTACCATTTAGTGTGACATTGTTACCATTAAATGTTACATTGATACCATTTAGTGTGACATTGTTACCATTTAGTGTGACATTGTTACCATTAAATGTGACATTGTTACCATTTAGTGTGACATTGTTACCATTAAATGTTACATTTCTCCATTACTTTCTGATATTTTAGAAATAAAAAATGACTGATCGGTTAATCAGAATTCATAATACATATATTGTTGGCTGCAGTTGTGAAACTTGCAAGAAATGTCAGGGGTTCACCGAAGTAATTTAATGTAATGAACTGAAGATATGAGCGTCTGTTCAAAATGTCATTGTGATGAATCGACTGGTTGTTTCTGCTAAAGCAGCTAAAACAAGCGTCACAGCTTGATTTGGTTTTCATAGAGCCAGAGCTGAAACATCATCCGATAGTGTCGAATTTGTACGTTCCTGGAAAGATGTGATTCATGACTTGCTTTTGGTTCAAACCCTTTTTACTTAGAAATGATCTCAGTGAAAAAACGCCACCGGGCAAAGACAGAAAACCACAAATGTTCAAAATAAATTATTATGATCAAATAAAAAAAAAAAAGGCAAAGACAGAACTGTGATCGTTACACAGAACACATCATGTAGAGCTGTGAGGATATAAATGAGGGATATTATTGTGGACTGAATATAATATTCATACATGTGTGGACAGAAGAGCTACAACACTTTATCTCAATAGATTTGTTTCATGTGTTCAGATACTTGTCTGTTGGGTAGACATTCATTTTTTAAATGTTGGTATTTAGATATAGATATTTGTCAATAAGCACTGAGATCTGTAAAGGTGTACTGACATTTGTATGTATGTTTAATGAAATCTGTATATGTGTACTGAGGTTTGTAAATGTGTACACAAATGTGTAAATGTGTACTGAGATTCATGAGTTTTCATTCATTAATGAATGCACATTGAGTTGTTTAGTGCATATATATGATTTCTGAGCTTTGTGAACACATCTATAAATCTCAGTACACACATACAAATGTAGTTTCACTTCTCTACACACACACACATTAGAAAATAATATTGCTGTATTAAACTCGTTTTTGACCTATTTATTATATTATATTAATATTATATACATTTTCTATTTGATTACTTATTTTTGTATACTTGGTTTTAATCTTTTTTTAATACTTATGCCTCTTGTTAGTTTGGACTACCCACTCTGCTGCTGTTATTCTGCATATTTCCCCGCTGTGGGATTAATACATTTTATCGAAACGCATTTATTTTGGTACTCTTGGCTCGCCGTAGTATTTACATCCACTGTTTCCAACATGGCGTCGTGCAGTTATCCGGTTAGCTTGGACACAGGCAGTTTCTTATCAAACGTTGTCGTTTCAAGTACATATTGAAGGATTTTCCCCGTCTTAATCACGAAGAGACATACGTTTCTATACATACTGTCAAAGATGTCGGTAAAACGCGTGTTTTCGCGGTCGCAATGCTCTTTTCTTACCTAGACCAGGCTAGCCGTTAGCTCTCCTCAATGACGTCATCGGAGGCCGTGGAGGAGCTGCGGCCCGTTCCTCGCGAGCGCGCCACCCTGGAGAGCTTCTTCACGCAGCTCGGCATGTTCTCCTTCGACCGAGCGAAGGACTACGTGGAGAAGGAGAAGGACGGCAGCAGGAGCGGTGGGGCCACGTGGACCGCGCTGCTCGCGGCTCTGGCTCACCTGGCCGCCGCGGAGAAGGTGTACCACCACATGACGTTCCTCGGGCAGAAAATGGGTAATAATAAATATAAGTAATGATAATAATAGAAGTACTTCTACTTAAATAAAAATACTGCGTCTGAAAAAAGTAAAATATTTATTATTATATTGTACTATATATGTATATATATATATATATATACATATATAGGAAGTAAAAAAGCTGACAAAATAGGTAATATTAAATATATATTGAATAAATATAAATAAAAGTAAGTACTTTTACTTAAATGAAAATATCAGTATAGAAATATTCTGTCAAAATATACCTGAAATACCAAAAGCAAAAATGTTTATGGCCCATTTCAAAATTATATATTTTTGATGCATTGATATCTGTCTCTATTTTTTTAATGGCTTAAATATAATTAAAAAAAAAAAATTATATATATATATATATATATCAAAATAATTAATTAAATATTTTCATTCTAAAAGACCAAACTAGGTCGGCTACTTTTAATAGCAGCAGCTTCAACACAAGAGGAAAAATAAATATATATATTTCCAACACCAGATGGCGCTGTAGCACACGAATGCTGGAGGATGTGAACTGTCTCTCCCTCTCCCCCTCCAGGAGGCCAGAGCTTCTTCAGCCGTAAGGACTCCATCCGAACCATCTACACTTCTCTGTACAACGAGCTGAGGAAGGTGATGACGACGGGGCGTCACAGCCAGCCCGGCTCCGCCTCCTACCTGGAGGACCTGCTGTCTCACCTGTCGGAGCAGCTCTGCCACTTCACGCATGCGCGCACCGAGATGGCCGACCTGTACGAGAAGATGCACTCGCTGGGCAGCCAGAAGAGCATCAACTCTGAGGAGCTGGTGACCACGCTGGAGGCCGTGCTGCACAAATACAGCTCCAAGTTTGTTAATTATTATTATTAACCAAGTACAAACAAGATTATAGAAGAAGCAGCAGTAAACAGAGTGACATAATGGGGCTGGAGGAGGAAGGCGCTCTGCTTATTCCAACAAAAGCAGAATTCAAACTTTTATTATTATTGTGTGTGTCAGCAGTTTGACACCAAACATCTGGGGCCTTAGTGTTTGTGTTGCTGACCTCTTCCTCTTCCTCCTCCAGGTTCCACCACCCGATCCTGGGCCGGCTGGAGGAGGGCTTCCAGACAGAGGTGGACGTGGTGACCCAGCTGCTGCGCTGCCAGGTCCAGGTGTCCGAGTGGTGCTTCCTGCCGGCTCTGCTCAGCCTGCACGGCGCCGGCTCCAAGCTCACCGCCTGGGGCCAGCTGTTCCAGCGGCAGAAGGAGACCCGCAAGCACCTGTTCGGCGGCCAGTCGCAGAAGGCCGCGCAGCCGCCGCACCTGTACGCATGGCTGCAGCACTTCCAGGCGGTGCTGCTCGCCAAGTTCAGCTTCTACTTCCACGAAGCCCTGAGCCGGCAGGCGGCGCCGGCGGACATGCGGGCGCTGACCGCGCGCACCGCGCCGGACTACCACGGGAAGATCTGCTCCTTCGTCCGCAAGCACGACGCCAGCAACGTGTCGCTGGTGTTCGACAACCGCGGCTCGGAGAGCTTCCAGGGCCACGGATACCACCACCCGCACTCCTACCGGGAGGCGCCGAAGGGCGTGGAGCAGTTCCCCGCCGTGGTGTCGCTGCCGTCGGGCGAGCGGCCGCTGACGCACTGGCCCAACGTCATCATGATGATGGGCGACCGCGCCGCGGAGCTCAACGCCCTGGACAAGGTGGTGCACTTCTACGACGACAAGGTGCAGAGCACGTACTACCTGACGCGGCCCGAGCCGCACTTCACGCTGGTGGTCATCTTCGACGGCAGGAAGTCCGAGAAGGACGTGCACATCGCGGGCTTCCTGCAGGAGATCTCCGGCTCGCTGCGGAACTCCAAACCCTTCAGCACCCTCAAGCCGGGGTCAAAAGGCTGAGGCGAACAAAACAAGTGCACCTCGAATCACTTTGGTTTCCTCTTATGTTGCGTTCCAGACCAGAGAGATGCACCAACAAACTCTGCTCTATTTAAAGTTCATTTTAATGTTCTGAATGCGTTTGTATTTTTATTTGCTGCACAATTTAAATAAAGCTTTGAGATGATTGCACAATGTGCTGACACGTCAATAATGTGACTTAAATGAAAGAATTTTAACGCAGCAACTTATTCCAAAATCCCACATTTACAGTTTTACATTTTGGAACGTTTAAGGAAACCACATGTTTACAGAACATCTGGAGGTTCATTAAGTGTTCAAAACATGTTTTTGCCACATTTTCATATTTTTAAAGAGGAAAAAAAACCCGTTTCACGACTCGAAAGCTAATTTATTCCGGTTTATTTATAATATAAATACAACACATTGATACAATCCATTTGGCTATATGAGCTCGTCTTTTCAGGGGAAGCTCAGTTTTCAAATACGGCGACACCGAACAGACAAAACGGCTTTTTCCTGTTTTTAAATCGTGAAACACGTTCGAAGAAGAAGAAAAGCAAAACCTCCCGACTGAGTCTTACACTGCACCAACGTGTTCTGATGCTTCATGCCGAATACACAATCCTATTATACATCAAAGTGCAAAGTCACAATGGGTTAATGCTAGAATTCATAATTCAGTAATCTACTAAACACTTTATGATTATTTCATTCAGAGTGCTGCTGCTCTTCGTTCAGGACATGCGTGAGTGGATTTACAACTCCCCCCC